CAGTCAAATGGATTCGATAACTTCCGGACAATATAGAAACTTTTATGCGCGCCCTCGTAATTTCCGATGAAGGGTTGCCCTTTCTTCTTCATTAACTCCATATAAATTTTAAGGACGGCATTAATGGCCGCCGAAGGCGCGTTCGAATTTCATTTTAAGACCGATTTATAGGCGACTATTTGTAAAAGGGGACAAATAATATCCCACCTTCCACGGAAGGCTGGTTATTCATTAAACGTCAGACGCCTATAGGTAATATTCTATAGATCTTCCTAAATACTGTCTGCAGGCTGGGCTTATTGAATATGGAGATATTTTGGGCACAGCTGAAAGCTGAAGGCGAAAGAGGAAATTAAATGAGCATGACTTGTATATTTATTGGAGACTGAGCTAGCTCTGTGCTTCTTATATATAGGTCAGTGCGTTTTAACTGGCCACCCGAAGTTTAAGTAATGACCAATAACATGGCCTAACCGCAAGAAGATCAAACTTATCAGTTATGAGAAATTCATCATCGCTGCTTTTGGAAGCAAGCTTTATCTACACGGATTAAGCGAAAGCTTTCGACAGAGCAAATCACAATCTACTATTTATCTTTAAATTAGAAGATTCGGGTGTATCAAGCAGTCAACTATCTTGGTTAATACGCTATCTGTCACTACGAATGCAGTGTGTCAGATACCCTGGATCATTACACTGGACAACAAATTTTAGTTTTTTAATTGTATCTTGTGGGAAAAGTGCACTACTTTGTTAATTTTGTGGCGCTGAATCCAAAAATGACAATGAAATAAAAAAATTAGTTGCGGTTTAGAAAAAAGACTTTTTATTTTTAAGGATATATTAAAAAAAGTAACAAGATTCATATACTTATAAGAATCACTATATGCGCTGTCTTTTTGCTGTTCTTTTATGGATCGTTTCTGGAGCATCTCTACCAAGAGTCCAACAGTAGTCTGCAAGCATGGAAGTTAGTTATTCTCCATATTGAAAAATGGTTCTAAGTCTTTGTGGCGTTTACGAAAAACACATACCGAAACATCGTCTTCTAACAAGTTCCACTGCTGCAGTCTTGATCCAAGTAACTCTGCCTTACATTTTGGAAGTTCTAAATCTCTTACAAGATTATTTAATTCTGACTGTGTTATTTTGTGCGGTTGGTGGCATGACGTGCTCGGTATAAGACAGGATCTCTTGACGTTGATGGCATATCTTCTTCCTGACGAATCACTCGATCGCCATGATCTGATTCGTTTTCTGATTCGCAAGTGTAGGATTTTGGGGGTTTTGGAATAGGATTTTCGTCACTGTGAGGCACAGGTCTCATCGCAGATGGTATGTTTGGGTAGTTAATAACCGATTTTTTTTTCTTGGACATACCTGTGGCTTGTCCAACACAAGGTACCATGCAAAAGTAACAATCATTAATATGATTTGTAGGCTCTCTCCAAACCATTGGGACAGCAAAGCGCATAGACCGTTTTTTGCCATTTAACCAGCTCCTCAGACTTGAAGCACATGTATTACAGCAGATGTGGGGTGCCCACTGTTTGTCTTGATCACCTAGTTTACAACCGAAATAAAGCTGATATGCATTTGTTATTAGAGAGAGAGAGACGCAAAAGTCACATCACCACACACGTAACAAAACTGATCTGGATTGTTTACACACTTTCGAGACATCTTGCATGAACGCTGTCAGCCAACTGAGGAAAAAATGGCTAATATAAAACAATATAATGTACACGTATGTATAACGTAACACAATCATGCCGATTACATCATCTTTCCTTGCCGAATTTAAAAATGTAGCACGTGCATTCTTGTGAATTACAGTATATTAACACTGTCACAGCAGGAACACATATAATTACCGTATCTCTAAAACTTGAACAAATATTGAAAAAATAAGTTTCATTCCGGTTTTAGCACATTAAAAATAGTAATATTTTGTTGATTTTATTTAGGATATTTTTTGGCTGTTGATCAGTGTTATCTAATCCAGTCAATGTCCTTTCAGTTGTGCCCCAAGGTTCTCACATTGGTCCAATCTGGTTTATTTCATTTGTTAATGATGTTGCAGGATCTGTAGCAAATAGCAGTTATTTGATTTTTGCAGGTAATCTTAAATTATTCGTTACATTGAGAAATATCTATGATGTGGAAATCTCACAAAGAGACAAATCTTACTCGGTGGTGTAGTAATAATAATATCAACATCAACTGGAATAAACGTTTCAAATTCGCTCATGTATGAATATAAAATTGAAAAGTAATATATACTAAGTGACATATAAATCCGAACACCCAGTTTAAATGGTTTTATTTTAATAAAAGTTGGTGAATGTATTTATCTTACTGTAAATAACAAGTGAAAAAATTTTCAGCCTTATCAGTTGGACATTCCGGTTTTTATACTGCTTTTTTTAATTCACTAACGCTCTAAAAATGAATATGTCAGCCGCAGTAAAGAATCAAAGTTGGCGGATTTTGATTCTTGACATCCTTTACGATCGGTTACGATGCCTAGAGTACGGAGACCTGTACGATTTCGTCAACTTAGTGAGTTTGATAGGGGCCGTATAGTGGGACTTCGGAAAGCTGGACTTTCTTTTCGGGCAATTGCAGTTAGAGTGTAAAGAAGTGTAGACACTGTGGTTAGGTGTTGTCAGGCATGGCTTCGAGAAGGCCGTACGCAAAGAGCAAGGGGCACTGGACGCCGCCGTAGAACAACAGACCGTGAAGATCGCCGCCTAAGATTATTGGCCTTAAGGGACCGTCTCTCCACTACCAGGTTCTTTGCAAATGAATGGTTTGCAGAACACGGAAGACCTATTGGCATGCGAAGTGTTTACCGACGAATGAGAAGTTTTGGCTTGTTTTCATACCGGCTACACTGGGTTCTCCCTTTAACTCGAAAACACCGACGTAATCAAATTGAGTGGTGCAGACAACGGTCACTCTGGGATCAGGAATGGAACAGTATTGTCTTTAGTGACGAGTCTCGATTTTGTTTAGGCATGCACGATGGTCGTGCCAGGGTTAGAAGGCGACGTGGTGAAAGGAGGAATCCACAGTTTTTTGTTGAAAGACATGTTCATCACACTGTTGGAGTTATGGTTTGAGGTGCTATAGCTTATGGTTCCAGGTCACCTTTAATCTTCATCAGAGGTAACATGAACGCGCAGCGTTATATCCACGAAGTTCTAGAACCCCATCTTTTACCCTATCTTGACACCCTGGCAGATCCAACTTTCCAACAAGATAATGCCCGACCACATGTAGCAAGAGTCACAATAGACTTCTTTCAACATAATGATGTCACATTGTTACCATGGCCCCCAAGATCTCCCGACTTATCCCCAATTGAGCGCGTGTGGGATATGATGGGTAGGAGATTGCTCAATTTGCAACGTCCTCCTCAGACTCTAGAAGCACTTCGAGAGGAGTTGATGGTTGCCTGGAATAAGATACCACAGGAGGACATTGACCACCTGATCAGAAGCATGCCTAGGCGCGTTGGAGAATTCGTAGCACATCAGGGTGCATCTACACATTATTAAAGGTCAAAGGGCTTTAAAGCAGTGCAATCATTTTGAAATTTTTATCATTTACTTATTATGCTTCATTAAGTACTTATACAAAATTTTATTATAATAAAACCATTTAAACTGGGTGTTCGGATTTATATGTCACTTAGTATAGTTACAGATTCCGGTATACAATTAACTTTTGAAGCACATATTAGAGAAATTACTTATAAATCGTATAAAATATACATTTTTAGACCTTGCAAATAGCTCTCTGTAGGAGGATTTCATGGTATTTTAATATAATCTGTTCACGTTAAAAGCTACATAAATAGCACAGCGATATACCTTTTCAACAAGTAATAATATCATTTGATAATAATCACAGTTAGTCATTATATTCCATCAAAATCGTTATATAGGTAAATTAAAAACAGCCTGTTTTTTACATCTTGAATTAAACCAAGAATATTTTCCAAAATTACTCTTTCGGGGCAAAGCAACTACTTATAACGATAGCAACAGTGTTTTAGTCGGTGTCAACGATTTTACTGATAAAAGCAGTAAAACATAGAGAGCGTTTTTCCCATTTTTCCCATATTGTCTTAAAATTACTGCTTTTTACTTGGTTCATTGATTTATTGCTTTGGTGTATAAGAAATGTAATTAATATGAAAAAAAGCTGAAGAAATAATTACTTTTGTTAAATCAGTCACGGCAGCATAGGAACTGTAGCTGCTATATCATATTATGAAATTTAAATGTTATAGGGCCTCCCCGAGGGGCTTCTACGGATTCTAGTGTCAATGCTGTTGTTCCACAGGGATCCTTTTTGGCTTCTGCATAATATATCTGACATTTCATGGTTTTTGGCGGGTCACATTAAAACTACCGGCATTACCTTTATACATCCACCTTCCTCACACAAGCGTATGCATTCTGCCTTTCTGCATGTACGTTTGTTTGTGTGAGCTTCGAGATACCTTCTCCCACCAATTCAAACATTTTCTCGCCTACTTGTGAGCATTTCTGATCTATGCTTGTCACTGTTAGTGTAACAACCAACATGACATAGGCGTAACATTTTGAGCTTACCTGCTATTGATAGTTTTTTTCAAAATTATTGGAGTATTTTGGGATATGAATGGAACCAATGGTCCTTTATTATTCAAGTCATGGGTAAAAGAGCAGCTGCATTTAAGATCGGTCTGACCAGTGTGCAGTTTTCTGATGCAGCTTCAGCATCGCACATGGTTCAGTAATTAATAATAATAATAATATAATGATAATATTCATTATGCATCTGTCTTGAAAATACATGTAATTGGATTTGTTAAAAATAAATACATAACAGCTAATAAAATCACTGAATGATTAACAACATTGATCAACTAAAAATTAATTAAATGTCTGTTGAAGCAGGTGATAGACTCACTGCACTTAATTTCTTGGGAAAGTTTATTATAAATTCTAGGACCCTAAGCATTTGGCGACTTTCTTGCAAAATCTCAAATTATGTTGTTCCGAGGAGGAGTATATAGCCATCTAAAAAGAAATAAATAAATAATGAGAGCAAGGTGAGTATACAGTATTTTGAGAACAAACCCCTGCAACTGTGCCTAGAGTCCACACCTACCACACATCTTAAAGCTCTTTTTTGACACAGAAAGACATGTATTGACATATGACGAGCAGCCTCAATCGAGATTTCACTTGAGCATGATCTACTATTATTAACTGTGGCTCTGTTAGAACCGTTCTCAAATCTGTCATAACGGATGTCCGTGAATCTAGCTTTGCAGCTACAACGTCACAGTGCGTACTGAAGCTAATTTCGTCATCAAAATGAATTCCTAGGTATTTCAATTGGTGTCCGAATTCGACGTTTGTGTCCCTTATTTTGAGATCCAAGGATTGCGCTTTTTTGTGCATTGTGGAACAAAGCCAGAGTTTTATCAGGATTGCGATATAAACGGTGCTTGGGGAACTACTCGCCAAGACCATTGAACAAACTATCACATTTACACATAAGACAGCAGTACAGATGCGCAACCACCAAAGACCATGAAACTGACTATATATATATTTCGCAGTACCGGTGACGTGGTTTGTGAAGAGCACACGCGGGATCTGATGTAGAGCATTTCATATACGCCAATGTCTGCCTGTACTTTGAATGAAGCCAGTTTTTGAAAGCGTACAAACGGGTAAAGGGGTTGAAATTCAACAAAAGCAATAATTGGTCATCGAGGGCGTTGCATCACCGCACCGCCAGTCTGGATGGGGCGGGAAATTTGATTTAAGCTGTTATTACAGTTTAAGGCACTCGAAAACTTGGCTGCTTCGCCGGCTTGCGGCTTAATGGACTAATGTTTACATTCATATCAAACAGTGACGGGGGCATAGGCGGCTCTTAGGAGGCTGCTTGATTCCATCCGAATTGATATGTTGTTGTTCGGCATATTCTCACATTGAAATAGAAATGTTGAAGTGTTATTGCAGACGACTTGTGTACTCAACAGCCTGCCATCAAAACACAACACCAACACGGCAATATAAAATGTATGTCAACACAAGAGTTACAAAATAAAGCTTCTGGAATATCGAATGGTTGCAGCGGGAACTTGAGATGAAAGCTTTCAGAGTTAGTTTAATTCCAGGTATGATTGAATGAGGAGCCGGCGCATATGCCACATAATGGGCCCACTACATTCCCTAAGCTTCAAGCTCCGCCCTCCGAGCAAAGTTGAGTATAGCTCTGAGTCCCACCTCCTTCATATTCAGGAGTCCAAAGTGTTGGACACCAGCGGAGTCTGCATGCATTGGCTCACAGAACATGCGCCATTCCGTTATACCGCAGCGTTCACAGATGGGGTTCTCATCCACCATTTGACGCCTCGTCGTGTTATGACCAGACGGTCGACCCACCAACAACCTCAGATTGGCTCTAGCCAATGATAAGCAAAAGCGTCCACCAATAACATTGGGCTCCCGTGGACAAATGTGTCTAAACTGAATCCAAATTCAATATGAAATGTTAATAGTAACAGTTAGCGCGTGATCTTTCGGTAACAGGTGGGGACAACGCCTCTTATTGGTCAATTCGCCATTAAATTTCAAGCGATCGCCTGGCGGAATAATGCGCGGGGCAGGGGCAGGGCAGGCAGAGTTGCATTCAGGCCACCGACCGTCGCGTGTATCACTGCGTGCTCGAGTTTTCGTATTCACCTTGCTTAGCGTAGCCCTGAATGCGGCCCTGTACGTCGTCCTTGCTTTTGGCAATCACGCAACCATTCTATCTTAGAGATGTTTCTCCAATCCAGAGAATGTTTACTAGCTATTCACTTCTCCATCTTCTGTCTCTTTACGCGGTACCCCTATAGCTGGCTCAAGACCAACAAGCTGGCCCGCTAATCCTGCATTCGCAAGAGTGTCCTTCATATCATTAGAGTTCATCTCAGCGTGCCCCAGTACCCTCACTAAACATTGTGATTATTCTCCTAGGTCTTACCCCCTATTCGAGATGTGCATAGATTTTCGCGTGACAAATAGTGGTGTATCCGCCGTGAGTTAGTGAGATCCTACTTCTAGTCCCAAACACCCCGCGCCAGAGGCCTTTTCAGTAACCGAGCCGTCCATGTACCAGATTTGCCCACTTCCTTCCGATGCATTCCGGCTTCCTAAATCCCACTTCACCCTCATCGGATACTCGAAATTAAACTTGCAGTTAAAGCGATAATCAGGGGTGATCAGATAGGTTAGGTTAGGTTAGGTTTCTTGCGACTCTTTGGCCTATTGTGGCTCACACCTATTTATATTTCACCCAGTATCTCCGACCTCCTGAGGCAGTCGATCAACTTGTTTGGAGAAATATCCTTCAGGTCTTCTGCTAGGAGTACTACGTCTCCAAGTATGTTGTACCTGATTCTGGCAATCGCAGGGCATCTGTAATACATGCCTGACAGTTTCATCTCCCTCCATGCGCAATCTGCACTCAGCGTCTTCTGCCATGCCCAGCCTGCTCATGTAGTGACGCAATTTGCAATGACCAGTGTACAGTCCTACTAGAGCGTTGAGGCTATTCCTATTCAGCCGTAGCAAAGAGTCAGTTGCTAATTCCTCGCAGTATTTATGGACCTTTATGTCCATCTCTGCAGAGATTATTTGTTTAGCCGTATGGTATGCGATCCCAATCGCTGGCTCAGGGCTCAGGCGCTATGAAGGGTATGCTAGCACCACTCTTTGCCAGAGTGTCAGCTGTCTCGTTCTGGCACCCAGTTCTATAGCATATAGCTCTGCCTGGAAGATCGAGGCCCAGGTTCCTAGGCTAACAGATTTTTTAATCTTTAGCTTCGGCACGAAGATACCAGCTCCAACACTTACCTCCGTCTTGGAGCCATCTATGTATGTATGCACACATATCTTTCCTTATCAGGTTAACTTGCTGTTCCCACTCATTCCTGTGTGGAAGGGTCACTGAGTAGGGTTCAGCATATCTTATTACCTTTGCCATTGTATCAGAAAGCATTCCTAGATTGTGATGGTTTTGTAAGTCCACCAGCATGTCCGTCTCCTCCATAGTGATATTGCCACATGCTGTAGTCTATTAGATGTCCTTCTTGCCTGGTCTTTCAGCTGTATGTACAAGGGGATAAATTAAGATAGACCTTCATAGCTGCGGTTGGTGTGGTACGAAATGCACCTGTGATCAACATACAAGCTTCTCTCTGTATTGCGCTCAGTTTGGTTTGGACAGTTCTTTGTGCTGCTTTGCCCCACCAAGCTTCAGATCCATAGGTTATCAGGTCTAATAAACATGGTATAAAGTCAAAAGATTCGCTTAGGCTTCATTCTCCAAATCTGTCAACAAACCCTTCGAGATCCTTGCCTTCTTAAGGACTGCTTCCAGTTGCGAATTCCAGTTTAATGTTTTATCTAAGATTATTCCTGGATATGGAGGTTTAATCCCATCCGGTTTTCTCTTTCTGGTGAAAGGTACGATGACCATTTTTTAGGGGGTTGATTGACATTTCTGCCCCGCTATTGCGGTTAACACCTCCTGGAGTGTTCCCGAGATATTTTCCCCAGATTTCCCTCTGACTAGAAAAACTAGATCGTCTGCATATGCTGGAACCAGATTATCTACCAGGAGTGATCAGATAACCCTTGCTCAGAAGGACGGGACCGCAGTTCGACTAAGATGGCAGCCTCATCCTTGACAGGATTCAAAAAGGCCCAGCTGCCCTGACTCGATGTGCAACTAATCTCGCCTCTCCGCGGATCACTAGATCCAACGTCCATTGCACTTGATGGTGTGATTTCTAGGTTTTGTTCGTAGATCTTCTTATGGTTTTGACTTTGGTTTGACAGCTCACATATCTTGCACTTGGTGATAATTTGTATCATAACAAGCACAGTTTCTTTAGATGGAGCAACACATGCCCTTTTTTGAGGACTGACTTCATTCAGTTGAAGCTATATCACATTAAAGCGATATGATGATATTACGATTATTAATAATAATAATAATGAATTTATTTCCCATTAGACATGCATGAACACGTATAGGTTTCGTCAAAAAGATACAATAAGTAAATATGTACAAAGTAAATAAATAAATAAAGAAAACAAACAAATAACATCCAACAACAAACAAGTTAAAATTAGTGATAAAAAACGATATTTAAAAACTGACAAAGTCGCTAATTGCATAAAAACAGTTACTTATAAAGTAGCTTTTCAGCTCACATTTGAATTGGCCTATTGGGGTGATCCTTTTTATGGAGTAAGGCAGGTTGTTAAAAATTTTAGGACCTAAAATACATGGTGATCTGCTGCCTAACTTATAACGCGCAAAAGGTATATGGATGTCGTTTTGTCTGCGAGTGCCCATTTGATGTATATGACTATTCAAGGTGAAATCATCTTTGTTTGAAAAAGTATAGATAGCCATATTGTAGAGAAAAAGCGAAGGCAGTGTCATTATTTTTAATCTCTTGAATAATCCTCTGCAACTATAAGTGCTGCTTACTCCCACCATACACCTCACCAGCCGTTTTTGACTTAGGAACACCTTAGAAGCGTTCACCGATGAGCCCCAGAAGCACAAAGCATACAGCATGTGAGACTCAACCTGACCATGATACAACATCAATAGCTGATTCTCTGTAAAAACAGATCTCAGGTTCTTGAATAAATATGCTTGTGAATTTATTTTTGATGATAGATAATCGCAACGTCCTTTAAAGTTGAGACATTGGTCTAAGTGGAGTCCTAAAAACTTAGTGCTTTTATCACTCTGCAGTGCTGAACCGTTCAGAACAAGCTGAATCGCTGGGATCGACTTTTGAATGTTATGGAACCTTATAACTGTGGTCTTCTCTTCGCTATTAAGAAGTAACTGATTTTCTTCAAACCAGCTATTGATGTTGTACACTAAGGTGTTACATTTATTTATTAAATCAGCTTCGTCTTTATTTGATATAATGATGGAGGCATCGTCTGCATACAACGTGAAATGTGCTTCAGGGAAACATTGCTCCAGG